TAGGGTTTAGGGTTTAGGGTTTGGAGCCAAGCTTACTTCCCCAATAAGCCAGGGAAATAAAAGGTTAAGCTGTCAGATTACTAGCAAATTATAAGAACCCAAAAAGTTTAAAGGTTGGGTATTGGGGAACTAAGCAAGTTATAAGCCTTTGCCGTTTACGGATTCGATGGTTGGTGGCATCTTCGTCCTCAACCGCTTGACGGGCGAGCCGGCGATAGAGGCACTGGCTTGGGACTGCTTTGCAATCGGACTCCCGCTTGCAGAGTACAGGATCTCGCCTTCTCTCCGCTGGCGGATGTTGATGTAGCTCGGGGAGTTTTAGGGAATATAGGGCTTCTATAAAGCTTACATAAGGATATATGTAGACCTTCTAGAATGCTACCTGGACCTGAAGATGTCCTAGACTTTGAGGCTGCCCCACTGCTGATACTTTCAAAATCATGCTCCCCTGCTCGATCTTGGGTTAGGGTTTAGGGTTTAGGGCTTGCAGCGCGAACGTGCCAAAGGGGAACAAGCAGTGAGCAGGGGGCTTGAGGCACATTCTGTTCAAGCTTCGTTCCATTGCCCGCCCCTGCTTCGGAGAAGTCGTTAATATAGGGGCCTTAATAAGTAGAATAGGGTTCTGGGGGCATATACTATAACTATAAGAAGGAGCCTTGTGCATCTTCGGAAAGCCGGTAAAACAAGCTAATGTAGGGGCCTTAATAATTAGAATAGGGCTTGGGGTTCCTTACTATAATCAATACCCCAAAACCCTGTTCTAATTATCAAGACCCCTATATTCAAAGCCTAAACCCCAAAACCCAAACCCTCTAGCCACTGTAGCCCTAAAAGCCCCAATAGGCTTGGGGGTTTCGGGCTAAACCTGCACGCCCCGCCCTGAAGCAGCCCAAACCCTAAACCCGAACCTCCTATTGAAGAACTCGCACACCTGAATTCTTATGTCTGTCGTTTGGGACAACTCATGAAACTAAACTCTACACTCTGAAGCTTGACTCGACCCAAAACCCCAAACACGAACCTCCTAAACCCATATCATCCACCCCTGAAAAAGGCATGTTTCTATTTCTGTAAGTACTACTACAGAAATGAACCCTAAACCCTGGAAGTGAACCCTATAGGCCCGGCCCTATAAACCCCTAACAACCTAAACCCTAAATCCTAAATCCCAAAACCCTAAACCGCTAAACTCTGCCCCTAACGGCCCTACTGTTGATGGACAAAATCCTGCATGACCCAAATATAGTATAGTACCATAAATCCCATAGTTTAGGTATATAAGGTCATGCAGGATTTTGTCTAAGGACCCTAGGGGCCAGAAACCCTAAACCCTAAACCCTAAACCCTAAACCCTAAACCCTAAAGGCCCTAAGGCCTGGTCCTCTACAAAGGCGTCGTAGGCTTCCAGGGCCACCGGGCCGAGATCCTCCTGGCGGATGTCTTGTAGGGTTTAGGGTTTAGGGTTTAGGGTTTAGGGTTTAGGGTTTAGGGTCTAGGGTTTAGCGTTTGAGGGTTTTGGGTTGAGGGTTGAGGGCTTATAGGGTTTTGGGTTCATAGGGTTTTAGGTTTAGGATTAGGGTTCAGGTATGCCTTAAACCCGAAACCCCCAAAGCCCAGATCACACGAATAAGGTTTCGGGCCTCAGGAGCTTAACGTCGCAAAGGGCCCGAAGGATTTAGGGTTTAGGGCTTACTGGAACTAAGGCGTATAAGAATTAAAGGGTTTAGGGGTTAGGGCTTATAGCATTGTTGCATTAAGGAAGCGTAAGGAGAATATTTGTGATATTTATTAATTCAGGCGTATATACGGTTGAAGACATAAATCCTGCATCACCCATAATAGGGCATATACCACAACTCCCATAGTCTAGGGTCCTCGAGGTCATGCAGGATTTATATCATCGACCTTCTGAACACCCTAAGGGTCTCACCGGATCTGGAACTTGGAGTTTTGTTTAAGGGGTTCCTGAAAAGCTTCTTGTTAGCATGTGGGTAGTTATCTAAATGAGGGTCCCTTTTAGGGTTCTTTTTTTCTAAGGGTGCCGTACTATATTGGGCACCCAGAAAGGGACCCTAATTTAGAGAACTACCCATGTAGGGTCTGGGACGCAGGATCCTTACTTGCGAGTTCCTTCAGAGCGTGGGGCTTAAGGGCTGTTAAACTGAAGTGGTTCAGGGTTTAGGGTGTTTGACACTAAAGGAGTTTGGGGTTTAGAGCTTGGGGTTAAACCAAAAGGTCTGTTTTTGGGCTTTTCGACTAAACGGGTTTAGGATTTTGGGTTCTTTAACTGAAGGGGCTTAGAGGTGGAGTTTAGGGCTGAGGTTTTCTGGGCCCACGGGTCAAAGAGTTTCAATATGCTTCAAGAAAGACGTACTCGGGTTCAGGATACTCGTTTTGTCGGTTCGTGTTTGGGAGAGTATCTAGTATATGTGACTGAATTCGATTTTTCGAGCCTGGAAAGGTTTAAGGTTCAAGAAGCACAACGGGAATCATGGAAAAAAGGGCCCCTCATGTATGAAGGTGAGTCGGTGCACAGGGAGCGATAGTGCAGCTGGCTGGGCGGAACGCTTGAGCCAGCAGCCGGCTCTGTCTGTTGTATGAGGTATGCTGAGCTTCGTAGCAACCCTAAGCCCCTAAACCCCAAACCCCTAAATCCCTAAACCCAAAACCCTAAACCTCAAAGCCCCTATACCCTAAACCCCTGAACCCCTAAACCCAAAACCGTAAACCCCTATACCCCATACCCTACACCCCTCAACCCCTCAACCCCTAAACTCAACCAGGGCTGAAGGGCTCTAAAGTAGTTTAAAAGTAAGATGCAGGGCTTGGGTCCTTAAGAGCTTAAGCTTTGCCGGGCCCCCTACCATAGACGTCTTTAGAGCCCCCCCATGACTACTAATAGTGGCTAGGGTTTAGGGTCTAGGGTTTAGGGCTTAGGGTTTGGGTACATGAGAGGTCTACGTAGGTTTAGTAATAGTCTTTCCGCTTAGAGTTTCATGCAAAGGCGAGTTGCTGAACCCTTGCAGACTTCGACAGCAGGCACCCCCCAGTATGAACCCTAAACATTTACTCCTAAAGTCTACATCGACTCTGAACATGACTTGAACCATAAATGCGATCGGGTGCAAAACCCCACAACCCCAACAACCGTTGATACCCAAACCCGTAATCTACTAGACTTAGACTCAATGAGGCCAAAACACCATTAAATAAACAAAAAAAGCTAAACCCTAAATTATAAAATTCAAACAACTGTTACACCCGCCACACACATTGAGCTGAAACGAACGATCCTAGAAGCTCGGAGCCCTAAACCATCTCCCACTCCTTCCATATCCGGAGATTCCGGATTTCTGTGCAGCGCCCCTGGCTTCGTGTCTCCTGTCGGGACCGCGTGCTAGGCACCAGCGGTTCTCTACTCAAGAAAGGTGAAAATTGTCGGATCTGGATTACGTTCTACCCTAAACCCTAAACCCTAAACCCTAAACCCTAAAGTTCTTACGGTTTCTCGCTTGACTACTATCTGCTCGAGGTCTTTGCGGGCTCTTCGGCCTAGGGTTCAGGGGCTTTCGGGGTTAGGGCGCTTACAGCTTTGTTGGTCGGGTGTTTAGGGTGTTAGGGCCTCACGGTTTAGGGTTTAGGGTTTAGGGTTTAGGGTTTAGGGTTTAGGGTTTATTAGGCAGCTTGGAGTGAGGGATGTGGGTTTGACTGTTCCTAGCAGAGCCTCCAGGCACGTTACCATGCTCCAGAATGGGTTTGACATGGTGATAGGAACCATCTATTCTGTAAGTCCGTAATGTCGGGCATAATTAACTACTACCTAATATAGGCACTCTACAGGTATGTCATTATTATATCAAGGTCTTTCTATACTCCGGTGTTTCCACCCTAAACCCTAAACCCTAAACACTAAACCCGAAGCCCTAAACTACGTGGACCCAACCCAAGATTCGGAGCTTTTCTGTTGAGGCTATGTAGTGAAATGGAGGGTTTCTATATTCGGAACTAGGATTATGATTTGGGGATACACCCTAAACCCTAAACCCCATAAGATTTCTCTTTTCACAGAAGAATAGGATTATCGGATTCTGATTTGGGAAGTCTGGGCCCCCTCCGACTCTGGCCTCCCTAGGGCCCCCCCAAAAAGCACATAAGCAAAA